CTGATAGTGTTTTGTACTCTTAAACACACTCTACATGCTGTACAATATAGTGCAAAATTTTTGAGGGCTGTAAATTTCATGGATTTTGCAATTTTTGTGAAAATTATTTCTGCATAAATCAAATTATTTACGGTATAAGATGGCAAACAGCCATAAATTTGTGAAAATTAAATCAGCAAAATTTTTAAGTAAATTAGCAAAATTTACAGCCCTCAAAAATAATTTTGCACTATACAGTAATAGCAATTAATTCTAGCTTTGAAAGTTACAATACACTGCATGGTTGGTCTTTAAAATCTTTTGTTTTTTCTCTCTTCTTAATTTATCAGAGATTATGTGAAAGGTATGAATGTTGAAGAACACATTTCACTTGTGTTTATTAATTTTACTGACAAGCTTCCACAATTTGAGTAAGAACAATAAAACAATAATTATCAATAATAATCATCCTCTCTCTCTCTCTCCCTCTCTCAGTTGTGATTGTTATATTTTAAAGGATATTCTACAGAATTGGTCAGATGAAGATGCTCTGCTAATATTATCTAAAGTTGAATCAGTTGCTAAGAGAAATAAGAGTCGTCTTGTGATTATTGAGAACATGATGCACACTGGACACCAGCAGAAGAGAAGGTAAGAGAGAGAGAGAGAGATTGAAGTCAAAGGTACAGGGTCTTTGGCCCAATTTTGGAGCATATTTAAAAATTTGTAAAAAATCGAAATTAAATTGGAATTAGCTCAAACTTTCTACGCAACATAAGTACATTATGCATCAGAAAATTCAACAAAAATGGAAAATTCTTTCCTTGGGAAATTCGGCCTGTGACCCTGTACCATAGTACAGGGATTGGTCATATAATTTAGTCAAACTTGTACACTAAAACACAATATTATGTTTTTCAGTGCACAATGTTTGACCAAACTGTATGTACATGTACATACTTGAATCTATTTTTCTTTTTCCTCCTTCTCCTCTCTCTCCCTCTTTCTATTTCAGTTGAAGTCATTTCTTAATCTCACTATGATGTCATTCAATCCGTCACATTCTCATATCCGTACAGTTGATGAATTGTTCTTTCTTATTCAATCAACAGGTTTTGCAGACCCATGCACAGCTTTACTTCACTCGTACTACCTACAACGTCATTGAAACCTATCCTAAAACTAATCAGTGATGGGTGGAGTCAGGGGTGTGGCTTCAAATCATATATACCATAATGGAAATATTGTTAATACAATGAATTGATCATTAATGTACTTGTGTTATCAATTTTGTATCTAATTTTTTGTGATTATTATTTTAAAATATAGTTCATTGCCTTCTTTAGAATTCTTCATTTTTATTATATCTCCTGATGCTTGTAGACTATTTCTAACTTTCATTGCATTGAAACATTCAGCGGAAGAGGATCAAGTTATGAAATTTTAACTATAAATACTTGTACACATGCTATATAATATGATCCCTCTATAGTATAGTCATCAAGTTGTTATGAAGCTTTCTCCAATGACTCCTCCCCATGCGTTGAAGTTTAGAAATTGGCCTATCAGCTTTCAAACAAATCCCAATAAGTATATTCCATGGAAAGTGAACAGTAACTATCAGTTGTTGCATTATGATGACTCCTCACTTGTATAAGTGGGAAAATAATGTATTGTAAAATCAAGAAGAATACAACAAGAATAACTTATAATAATTCAGTGTATTACAAGCACACAGGCAAATGAAATGAATAATGTAAAATGTTAGTAAGTGCGTGTGTATGCATGTATAATAATAATTATTAATAATTATCACAGGTTCTAGCTGTCTCATGTAAGAAATCCTTTCACTTCAGCTTTTGCTTCTCCAAATTCCTCTGGATAATCTTCACAAACTTGAAGTACTTTCCTCCAGGTCACTCCTTTATTGGACTTTATCCATCTCCTTTATCCATGAAATGCATAATGTAAAGTGTTAGTATAAGTGTGGCACATGCATGTACATGAATGATAATTGAATGTCAAAAAAGAAAGTCAAAGTTACATAGTCATGCTTCACAGTTTATATAGTCATCCACATGAAAAAGTTAATTTCAAATAACTGCACAATACTTTTGGGTGGGCCTGGCCGACCCTGGCCCACCCCGCCTAGACCCACCCCTGGCACTGTCTGATGATAGGAATCCTTCCACATCAGCTTTTACTCTTCCAAGTTGGTCTGGATAATCATCACAAACTTGAAGTACTTTCCTCCAGGTCACTCCTTTATTGGAGTCTATCCATCTCTGGAACACTAGTATGAGCTTATCAGAGGCTGCCATTGGACTATGCAACAAGTCAGTCACATCAACATCAAGTGCAGTACCAATAGTTGAATAATGAGCAGCAGAACTTGTGAATAATCTATGGAGGTCACTCTTTTGAGGCTTCTCATCTAACTGGAGGTCTGTAGTATATTACAAATATGAAATAATAATAATGATAAAAATAATTTGACCAGTAATTCCTTACTTTCATCTGATGACTGATCATTAACTTGTTTTATTTGTGTTTTATTGTCATTCTCAACAGGTCCTATTCACAAGTGATAAATTATAAATAATAATTATTAGCATACACATACCTGATTCAAACCAGTACCAATGATCACTACTAATAGCAGCTGACACTGAACAAACAGTACAATTGACAATATGACCACCCTCCCTGGGTCTAACAATACAGTAGCATCTATTCCTCTTTGAAAGGCAAGCAAATGCATTGACATAATTATGCTTGAGGTGCATGGCATCACTGCTATTATCAATAGCTGTTGTGAGTAGCTTACGTACTAATGGACAGTGCTGGGTAGGACCAGTAAAGTACACTTCAATATGAGTGTAACGGTTGATGAGGTGAAGTGAGTCCTCCTTCCCTTCGAAGGTTATCTTGAGGGACATGGCATCTCGAAATTTGTAATACTCTGGCGTGGACGGAGAGATTTTAGTAACGCATTCTTTCTGGTTGAGTAGGTGTACGATGGTTAAAGGGAACAATCCTGTAGGAACTGGTAGGATCTCTTCACTCTCCTCTTCCCTCCAGACTATGAGAAGTGGCTTAGCATTAGTCTCCTTAATTGAAACTGGTTCATTGTATGAAGGAAGAGCATAAGG